CATTATAAACTTCTTGCCCACAAAGACTGTCATTTTTCATTTCTGTTTCCTCAGTGCGTAGCCTAGTGCCTTGCATATTGTCAGTATTTAATATGAAATTGAATTTGTTGAGGAGTAGGTAGTGGACTTGTGGTGGTCCATTCATATTCTCTTGCCTTGATGGTTTAATAAAGACATACCTGTATAACCATAGGGTCTTAGAACTGAGTGAAACAATCTTAATGGTCTAGACAAACTTGCTCTAACTGAATAATCTATATCTTCCCACTTGTGAAATGTTTTGTTTTTTTTCCCTTCCTTACCAAGACAGGAGTTGGACTTGGGGAGAAATCATGGGAGTGGTTATCAGGTAGGGGGTTTAAGAGAGATGTGAGGGGATATGTGGGTCAGCCTCTCTCCAGCTAAGGGCACTGATAAATAGCCTTATTTCTGAAGTAAAATTCTACCTTTCAAAGCACTTTAAAATGTATTTGCTCAATTCATCTTATCAGTATGAGATAAGAAAGGTGGGGATATACAATTTTATAGGTGAACAAATTAAAATACAGAGAGGTTAAATGATTTACAAATCTCTTATTTCATTAGCCCAACTACACCTCCAACATCGTTTTTTTTTTTTCAAGGGACATTTTCCCTCTATTCTTCCACCTGAAATATAGGTAATAAACTATATTTTCTACACTGGGAAACCTCACCTGTTGCCACAGTTACCTAACCTATTTATGTTCCATTTAGACCTTTTAAATCTGCCTTTCTGTTCTTAACTTCTGTTAACTTTATGACACCTCTTCTTGAAGTATTGTTAAATTTAACTTTCCACATGTCTACCATATATCTTTATTTCCCCCATTAAATTGTAATAAGCTCCTTGAAGGTAGCAATAATCTTGGTTTTCTAAAGCAGAGCTTTCTCCATGTCACTTCATCCCATCTTCCCCTTAATAAATTCCAGGGGTTCCCTATTAGGAATCCCTTTAGGATCAAACACTAAATTCATTGATTGTTATTCAAAGCCCTTCATAATTTAGCTCTATCCTACCTTTATTCCTACACCTTACTCCCTGACATGTACCCTTCAATCCAGACTCTGGTTTCCTGGCTGTTCCATGAACGATACCTGAAAACTCCTGGCTCCTGAAATTTTCTCTGGCTGTCCCCTATGCCTGTCGCTCTCCTTCCTCATCTCAGTCTACTGGCTTCTCTGCCTTACTTTGAGTCCCATCTAAAATTCTACTTTCTATAGTAAACCTTTCCCCCACCCTTTTTAATTCTGGTACCTTCCTCTGTTAATTATTTCTTATTTATCCTGTGCATAGCTTGCTTTGTATATATTTGTTTGCATGTTGTCTCCTCCATTAGACTGTAAACTCCCTGAGGGCAGGGATTGCCCCTTACTCTTTTTTTGTATCCCCACAGCTTGGTGCAGTGTCTGGTCAGTAGTAAGCACTTAGTAAATGTTTATTGATTGAGATTGAGTCTTACCTCCCAAGTACATATATTATCTTGCAAACTGCAAGTGTTTAATAAATATTTTGATCGTTAAATCTGTCTGTTCTCCTAGCCAATTAAGGCACTTTTAGAAAGGTCACTTTCAATATAATACAATTTAATTCCTTAGCTCTTCCCAAAAGCAAGTTCAATATATGGATACCCTTTTAAAAACAGAGCTCATTTTCTGTACACAGATTTGAAAGCATTCCATTAAAAGATGATATATCTTTAATATCCTTTGTCAAATTTCTAGGGCCTAGTATGAAACTAGAAACAATTTAGCATCACTTTATAAGAGATAATTTAGGCCTTTTTAACATTATTCACTTTGAATGAGTCACTCTCTCAGAATTCATTTAGCTGTTACAGGTGATTTAAACATCCCACAAAGCTAACCCTGACCTCAGGGGAAAAGAAAAAAAAAACCCACTAAATTGGGCTCATCACTGCTAACTTTTGACTGGTTCTACAACTTTTACCATTCCCATACTAACTGTGAATCAGACAAATGGTCCCTAGGGAGTTTCCAGGACTGCTTGGTGGCTCCAGATACTGTAACCAGTGCCTGTAGAAAACGATGGACTCTTGGTATTGCATAATACTAGAATAGATGTAGCAACTCCATAAAGCTACCACTATTGAGGCAGAGGTGCTCATAACGACAGAAAGTAAAAGCTGGGCCTCTCAATCTTAACTACCTAGATTAGGAGTAGGAAACCTTTGGCTTCCAGGCCAATGTGGCCTGGAGACTCCTTTAGACTGAGTCCGAGTTTTACAGAACAAATCCTTTTTATTAAGGGGATTCAGTCAAAGGGCTGCACTTGATCTCCTCCTACCTCTAGGCTGCAGGTTTCCCACTCCTGACCTAGACTTTCTGCTAAAGGTCCTACAGACCATTCTGAGACAACAGTGCGGGAAGCGTTCTTTCTACCCTATCTCCTCCTAGGAGTCCATTTATTACATTCAAATATAAAGAAGTGAGAGTCCGATTTTATACTGAGAGAACGTCTTAGAATTCCCTAAGTTCTCTGCTGTAGTTCCAACGGTAGGCCTGGTAGTTTGGGTTGGCATGTTTGTAGCACCAATACCACTTCCTCCCACCGGCTGCCCTTTTCCTGTGACCCATTTTCTCAATATTTCCCATGTCCTCTACTGGCCCTGGGAACACTAGAAGTGTTAGCCTTATCCTAGCCCGGCATTAAAGACTCCTGCATTTTAAATCTCTGCACCAAGAGGCCTAGCAGAGAGAGATGGACGTAAATGCCTCATCTAATAAATGGACCGCAATGCACTATGCTGAGGCACGATCTACAAGAGACTTCTGCCAACCTATTTCTCCAGCACTCTTGGTTTTTCCAACCACTGACTTCCCTAACGTCCTCACAACGCCCAGTCTACCACTCCCCATCAAAGCCTCTGCTTTCCAGCCCAGGTAGGTGCAGGTCTTTTCGGATTCGGAGGCCCTCTTCCTCCTCCTCTGGGCGCGGGGAGGCCTTCGCCTCCCGTTCGTCTCCCTCCCTCCTTTCTCCTCCACCTCCGCCTCTTTCCTCCTCTCCACCTAGGTCTAGGGCCCACCCCCGTAGTCCTCTCCAAGTCGTCAGTCCTCCCAGATCCCGAACTCCGGATTGGAAAACTTCCCCGTCACTCAACGTTCACTCAGGGGGTTGGACTCCTTACTTTCTTTTCCGAGCCTTAAAAGGTCACAAGACAGCTTTCCCCGAGCCGAGCAGGTAAAGCGGAGCCGGTGGGAAGGGAGGAGGGGAGGAGAGAGGAAGAGAGAACTGGGCGGGGGAGAAATGAAAGGGGTAGATGTCTACTCCAGGTCTACCCCGCCCCCGCCCAGCCAGGCCGGCCCCGCCCCGTAGGGAGCATAGGGGGAGGGGCGAGGCAGCTCTCCTGCCCCTCCCCCCGACCGTTCCGGGGTGGGGAGGCCACTCTACCCCCCTCCCAGCCCCACCCCAGATCGATCACAATGCAGGAGCTGAGGGGCAGCTCACACTATCCGGTCGCTGGACCCAGCCCTGGGGGCAGTAACCGCGGCAAAGGGAGGGGGGTGAGGAGGGCTGGGGGGGGAGGGGGGAAGGAAGAGGGAAGCGGGAGGGGGGGAAAAGGTAGAGTTTGAAAGGCCCCGGATGTTGCTGAAACGCAGCCTCAGCCAGAGGGAGTGACTGGCGCAGGCGTTGAGGGACCTAGCGAAAGGATAAGGTGGGGCGGCAGTTCTTCCCTCTAGTGGGGTGGAAGGAGGAGTTTCAGGGGCGGTGGGGGTGGAGGAGGAAAGGGTAGTGAGGTTGGGCTGCGGTAAGAGAGGTGGCGAGGGAGGGTGTTGCGCCTTGCGCAGGCGCTCACGGGACCAGGATAGGGGAGTGAGGAAGGAGGAAAAGGGGTGGGGGCTGGGTAAAAGTCGGGTCGCGCGCGTTCCCCAGCCACGCTCGTTCGCTCTTTTTCCTCGCGCGCGCGCGCCAGGAGCGGCGGTTGCGCTTGGGCCCTGGAGCGGTGGGCACCAATCAGTGGTTGCCATAGCAGCGTTTGACGTCATCGTGCGTGTGGTGCCCCTGCTGCCGGGGCTGGTGATTGGAGGAAACCCCGTGTCTGCGGAGCGGCTGGAGCCTGTGAGCTGAGAGATATAGGGACAGAGTCTCAGCCCCGCCGCTGCCACTGCCGCCGCCCAGAGACCGCTGAAACCCCCGTCCGTCCGTTCGCCGCCGCCACTCACTCCGGGCACAGGTAAGCGATGGTGCTGCCGCACCCAGGCCTTTTCCTCTTCTCAGCCCTGCCTTGGAAGGGGTGGAAGCGGGGTGGGGGAAGAAATCTCCCTCCCCTACGGCCGCCCCCTCCCTCCTTCCCCGGCTGGCCGCCTGGCCGGGCGGTAGCGGCGCTGGGCTGAGGCGGAGTCTGTTCAGGCGGAGACGGGGCGGTGGCTTCCCTTCCGCTGGAGCCGGGCCGCTCTTGCTAATGCCTCCGGCTACTGATTTCGGGAGCAGCAGTTTTTCAACCACTCGGCCCCAGATCTGCTCCTATTCGCTCCCCTCCCCCCTTTCACCCACCAAAAAAAAAACCGCGCCCACCCCGGAGATCCCCTGGGACAGGCGTCCGTCCTCGAGGCGCTGGGAGCGGAGCGGAGCGGAGCGGGCGGGGGTGGTAGCACTGTGTCCTGCCCTCCAGCCACTCTCCGGGAAAAAAAAGGGGGAAAATGAAAGACTCTCCCTTGTTCCTCCTCCGTCCCCGCCTCTCCCTGTGTTCTGCTACCTCCCCAGATAATTATTCCACCGCTGCGGGCATTGCAGTAGCAGCAGCAGCAGCGGCGGCGCAGGTGAGGCCGCCCCCTCCCCTCTTGTCCCCTCTTCTCCACCCTCCTCCCTCTCCCCCGAACCACTCCCTCCTCCCTCCCGCCCTCGTTCTCGGAGGCGCAGGCTCGGCGCTCTGGTCGCGGGCGGGCGCTGCGGCGGCGGGAGGGGGGGCCCCAGCCCTCCCTCACCCCACCCCCGAGGGGCCGAGGCGGCGCTGGCCCTGCCGGAGTCGGGCCACCTACTGGTGCCGCTGCAGAGGGGAGGGCGCCGGGGGAGACCGCGTCCTGGCGGGGCCTGCTTTGAGGTGTCAGGCAGGTAGCCCTGGGGCGAGGTCCGGCTTCTTGGCCGAGGCCGCAAATGCGGCTTGTCCCGGGTGGGTGTGGATGGGGGGTGACTACCGCCCACCGAGAGTGAAGGGTTCTGGGGTGGGGCATGCACACACTGTAGTGGAGCTGAATTTGCCTCGGTTGGAGCCGTGGGAGGAGAAAAGCCTAGCGTTTTCCCGGAGAGGGGAAGGGTGGGGTAGGAAAGGGAGTCTTGGATTTTTGGATTTTTTTTTTCCTTGCTTTATTGAGGCCCTGGCGAATGGGCTAGGGGGAGATCGGGTGGGGGCGGGGAGATCAGGTAGGGGAGGGGCTGGCTATGTAGCTCGGCGGGGGGGGGTGCGGAAGGGCGCTAAATCCCATTTAGACCTCTGCCCTGATTTCTCGGGCCGGCCTCAGTCGCTGCCGGGGTGCCCGGGGGAGGGCTGGCTCTCTGTCTGTCTGGGCGTGGTTCATCAACCCCTCTCCCCCCACCTGCTGCAGCTGTTGTGTCCTTAGAGCCTCGGTAATTGGGGCAGTGCGAGGACTGGCGGCCGCGGCGGATATCGCTCCCTGTGGGGTGTGTCCATTACCGGGTTCCTAGTGGTTCCGCTTCGGTGGGGCAGGCACTGCTGCCGCGCAGTCCGGCGGGCCAGAGCGGCGCCCCCTCCCCTTCGGGCGGGGGCGCGGGCAGCTCCTCCCTCTCGCTCTGGTTGGAGGGGGGAATTAACGCTCCTAGCCGTGGGCTGGGCTCGGTGACACAGATCCGCCATGACAAAGAGAGGAGGAGAAGGGGACTTGTGCTTATAACTTGGGAGGAGTCAGGAGGGTCTTGGGGCTAGGAGGTTGTGAGGGGCTCAGCCTCGGGCTCCTTGAAGACCAGCTCTGAGGTCTAGTTTTAACCCTCGTTTTGTCCTGGCTTGATGGGCGAGGCCATGAAGAAGTAATGCCACAAGCACCATTTTATTTCATGTGAGAACCTCCGCTTCCGTTGTACCCGAGGGTTGGAGGATATTCCCCCAAAAAAACCCTATTCTGCAACTAATTTTAAACATGCATGTTTTATAACTATTTTGATGGTTAATATGACATCTTAATAAGTGATTGAAATTAGGCCTCTAGAAGATGCCTTAGTCATAATATAATGTTGAAAATCAAGAGGAGCTGAAACTGCATCAAATGTAGGCATTTTAAGTATACCTAACAGTTTTTGCTAGGTGAACATCCATCTACTTGAAGACAAGAACACGTGTATGAGAAAAATTGATAAAATTTGGGAATTCTTGTGGAGGAGTGGGATAATTAGGTTCTAATTCCATGGTGACGAAACTGATCTTCACTTATTAACATAAGAATTACCTTAATCCAAAGTGACTATAAAGTAATTTTTACTGCTTAAAATTTTTTGTCAATTTCGAGCACTCTTAAGTACATTAAAATTTATCGGAAGGTAAATTAGAAAATCAAGGGAGCTTTAGAATTAGGAAAAGGGAAGTTAGATGGGAAAGAAAAAAGGGAATAAATAAAACAATTAAAATGTTTTTCAATTCACAAACTGGACGTGTGCACCGTTCTGGTTATTAATGGTCACGAAAGGTGGTCCAAAAAAGTAATTGGGTAATTCTGTAGCAAATTCTAATAAAATATGAACCCTATACCAAAACAGGTCATAAGTTTTTTTTAATGGAACAAGCATCATGAATGTAAACACCCATAACCTGTAGAATATGGATCTGTCAGTGTAAAAGTGGCGCAAGTGTTTGGAGGGTTCAATGAAATTTTCAGGTCATAAAAAAAGTAGCCACAGTTAGAAAAACTGCTCAATTCTAGTTCAGTGATAAGATTGGAAACGGCAGTTTTAAGCATTTGACTAAAGATGATAGTTCAGAGTTAACAGTGGTGTCCATAAGTTAAGACACTGTAACAGCATTTGTATTGATGAACTTATGAAGCTTTTGGGGGGTATCCAGAATCTGAATGTGTTTAAATAAATTGGTCTTTTAGCCATTTTGATTCTGATCATCCTGTATGAGAATTTTTGTATCCATTGACAATGGGAAATCAGTGTACCTTTTGGGTTATCATGACTACTTAATTACAGTAATATTCCTCTACTGGATTTAGATTTTAATTTTTTTGAAGTCTTTAAAATGCTACTTTTTTTCCCTTCAGAACATTCAGTCATGGATAAAAATGAGCTGGTGCAGAAGGCCAAATTGGCTGAGCAGGCTGAGAGATATGATGACATGGCAGCCTGCATGAAGTCTGTAACTGAGCAAGGAGCTGAATTATCCAATGAGGAGAGGAATCTTCTCTCTGTTGCTTACAAAAATGTCGTAGGGGCTCGAAGGTCATCTTGGAGGGTTGTTTCAAGTATTGAGCAAAAGACGGAAGGTGCTGAGAAAAAACAGCAGATGGCCCGAGAATACAGAGAGAAAATTGAAACCGAACTAAGAGATATCTGCAATGATGTACTGGTGAGAATCAATAAATATGTTCAATATAGCTTCTCTGTGTTGTAGAGGACATCAGATATAATAAGCTTGACTGTGGCCTTCCTTTGGTTTTTGTTTTCTATTAAACTGAGTAAGATCTTAAGATTCACTTTTTTTTGTGGAATGCTATGTCCCTTTTTATATCCCAAATGGAGGAGAGAGTAGAAAAAGAAGGGAGTGGGGTACCTTTTCTTAAAAGAAAAGCTTTTCAGCTAGTCTTAGAACTTATTCTCGCTGTGTCTTTTGGTACCTGGGATAGAAGACTTGTATTTGGATAATTATGAATAGAGTAACAGGACTTACGCATTGTATACCCGCTTTTCCTTGAGAGAGGGTGTGTGTGTGTGTGTGTGTGTGTGTGTGTGTGTGTGTGTGTGTGTGTGTGTGTCTTGTCTGTCTGGTCTGTCTGTCTGGGGGGTGGGGTGGGGGGTATTGGAATTCTTCTGTGTTGTGCTTTGTATAAGAGGCTGGTAATAGGAGTCTCATTATAGATGTAGTACCCCTCCCTGGATTAGCTGATGTAATGTTAATAAAATGAGTCAGCCAAGCAGAAAACTGTCTGGCATCCACAGTGTTGCTATTGCCTTGATCACTGGTAGCTGTGATAAAGATGCTGAACACCTCAAATATGAATTTTCTTTGTAGGTTGCGGTAAAAACCAAAATACTAAGTTTCAGCTTAATTCTAAGAAAGGATGGTTTATCAAAGTGCCTTTCTGGCCTAGAGAATATAGAATTTGATAGAATAATCCTTCTTTACCTGTTTATAGTACCTTGAAAATAGGAATTTCGTGCTCACAGAGTAACACATGGTCAAGTTTGCCAACTTTTTAAATGAATTAGAATAAAGAATTAATGTTTCTATAATGCTGAATTGAAATTTTTTGTTATTAATACATATGCATGGAATGATTTATGTGCTGAGAAATTCATGACCACTACCAGGAGAGTTGTTCTGGTTTTGGGGAGGGGGTATTTAAAGGACAATTAATATTTTTCATACTAATTGTAATTTGGAAATACAGAGGTATACTTGGAGTTAAAACTTTTTTTTAAAAATTACTTTATGGAGAGTTGTGTCCTAAAACAAAAGAAAAGGGAGTCAGTGTTGTCTCCTTGGATTATTGAGGTATAAATTCAAAAGCTTGAAAATGAGTATCATTCTGACTATGGTTTCAGTTTTAATTATCAGCTAGTATTTAGTGTACATCTGTAATTTAATAATTACTTTCATTTTCTTGGGTGTCTGATTTGAATATTTTCATTCAAGCTGAGATATGATAATTTTCTTTTTGATTATTGAAGTTGCTAGGTAAGGTTTTTGTTTTGTTTTGTATTTTGCTGCAAACTTCCATAAAACAAGTCAGCATGAGGTTAAAATTTAGATAAAAAGAATCATGATAACACTATTGTGCTAAAAAGATAATCTACCTTTCCAGGTAGGTATTTGTAGATTCTCAGGATAATAGAGTACAAAAGATGCTGTTAAGTGCTCATCTGGATTTTCTGTATTGTCCTGCTATCCAAAATACATTTATTTTTAAGGCCTTTAACTTGTCAAAGAGTATGAGTTCTTAATTGAATTTCAGTATTTAAAATGTAACTTCAATTCTTATCTGTGGTTAACTATCTATTATAAACTTGATTTTTTTTTGCTTGTCATTTGTATTTGAGTAGTGTTTGATTTGAGATCAATACCCCTTGAAATTCTTTTGACAAACAACTGAGTGAAAAGACTTCCAGAGTATATGTCTTCATTATGTATTGAGTAATTTAGCTGAGGGAATTACAATCCAAATTAAGTCAACTTAATATGATGTCTGCCCTCTAAGAATTTGTATTGGTCATAGAGAACAGTATAGCATGAGCAGAAGAACCCTACTATTAAAGCATGTGTCAACCCTTGGCTCATTGCAAACTGTTGAGAGCAGAAGCTCTGGGGTCTATTGTTTTTCTTTGAATATCCTGAAAATGAGACTAGTATGTACTTGAGGACTCTTCATTTCTTTGAACACATTAGCCACCTGGCAAAAGTTCTTGAGGCTAGTTCAAGACAGCAGTGGAGACTTGTGAAGATTCCATTCCTAAATATTTCTCTTCCTAGCATTAATAATATCTTTGTCAACCTTCTAGATTATGAATTTTCCTTTAAAACATTTTATTCATCTTTTTACACACACACATCCAAAGTGCTTAGTCCACTTCCTTGAGTATGTATTAGACTAACTCAGTAAATGTTTAATTATTTGCTCAGACTTTTCTTTCTAAGCCCATAAGTATCCTGCCCTTAAAAAAAAACCCAACTTATTCTTTCCTTTCCCTTTTATTTCTTCTCTTTGCTTGAACAACCCTTCCCTTAGGTTTAATTTCTGAAATCAATCAAGTATGGCACCTATTTATGAGACAAAGGGGATGGGCTCAGTTTGTGGTGCAGATTTGCAATATTATCACTACTTTACCACAGCTTACCTATGCTTTTCTATTTAATAGCAAAAGTTGACTTCTATAAATACTGGATGAAGCTTAGTTAGTCTTAAGTACCCATCAACTCAATTCTGAGTTTACATTTCTTGAGCTTACATTTACGTATCAAATGTATTGCTTCCTTTCCTCTTGTCCCTTGAAGGAAGCCTAGGGAAAAAAGTTTGTGTCTATTTTTTTGTTTGTTTGTTTTTTGTTAGGCAATGGCGTTAAGTGACTTTCCCAGGGTCACACAGCTAGTGTTATGTGTCTGAGGTAGAATTTGAACTCGGTCCTCCTGAATCCAGAGCTGGTGCTCTATGCACTGCGCCCCCTACCTGCCCCTCCTGTCTACTTTCTTAAGTTGACAGCGGTGACTGGTTAATTATATTTGATATATACTAAAGTGAAATCTTAATATCAGCTGCCTAAATTCGGATCTGCCTAGAACTGTTTGATAATTGTGCATTAACTGGGCAGCAATTGTATGATGATGTCATCAGGGGAACACAGAAGAATACTGAGCTAGGGAGACAAGTCAGAAGACCTTCAGTTTTGTGTACTTTATGCCAAATGTAAATTACTTGACCTGTGATGTAATTATACACATTGCCTATCTCCAGTATTACAATAATTGAAGGTCAACCAGATACGTGATTATGAAGTATGAGAAAACCTTCCTGTTCTAGGATTTGACAACCTCTGAAGCCCTAGAATACTTGCTACCACTAGGAATAAGAAATTTTTTCAGAAGTCACTTGATTCTGTCAAATCTGGGAGATCAGTCAAGGAATGAGATGGGGAAATCAAAGTATGGGCACTCAGTATGTGGTCCAGATTGGTAAGATTGTCACTACCTTATCAAAGCTTTGACCTATGCTCTGTTTTAGTAGTGGTGGTCAAATCCATACTAGAGTATTCCATCCATTTATTTAGGCCCCACTAATAGATAAAAATATCAAGAACTTGGGGATCATTTAGTGACAGCAAAAAGATAACTTTTTATAAAAAAGTTAAAGGACAAGAATTATTGACCTTGAAACACAAAGTTACTGGGGAAAGTATACCAGGGACCCATTTGTTTAATTGTCTAGTAAAGGAAGTAATCCATACCTTTCTAACAAAGAGATTTAGGTTAGAAAAGACCAAGAAATTCCTGACAGTGGTTATTGTTGAAAATGGGGGCTGCTTATTGAAGAAGTTTGTGGTCATTGTCTTGAATGTTTTTTGAATGACCCTTGCACATAGTAAGCACTAAGAAAGTTTGTTGAATGCCTGCATACACAGAAGCAGATCATTTTTTTAAAAGGGGGAGGTAACTCAATATAGTGGAAAGTGCAGGATCTGGAGTCAGTGGACCTACTATTCAATTCCTAACTCTCTTCTGCTTAACACCTGTTATTAAGTCAGCCCCAACTTCCCTGTAACTCAGATTTCCTCATCTATAAAACTAAGTGGTTGGATTAGATCAGGGGTGGGAAACCTGTGGCCTTCTAGGTCTTTGGGTGCAACCTTTTGATTGAGTCCAAGTTTTATGGAACAAATACTTGTATTAAGGGGATTTGTTCTGTGAAGTTTGGATTCAGTCAAAGGGTCACACTTGAGGACTTAGAGGGCCAGGTGGCTTCAAGGCTGCAGGTTCTCCGCCCCTGGACTAGGTGGACCCCTCAGAACTCTTCAAGCTCTAAATCTTACGTTCTTATGATGCTTTTATAAATTGTTGATTTTTTTTTTTTAGCATTTGAATTAAGTTCAGTGCTTTAATTTAGAAAAAAGGTTCTTGAAGCCAAAAACTTTATATGTACTCTTGTCATACCACCTGTTCATCCCTGAGATACATTGCAGAAATCTAGATTTTCCTAGCAGGCTACCAGGAACCTTTTACAGACCCCTAATTTGTCCTGTATGTATCTTCTCTGCATAGTTGTTGGTACATTTGCTCTCTTATTGGATTGTGAGCTCCTTGAGACCAAGGACTGTTGCAGTCTTTTTTTTTTTTAAATATCCCCAGTATGCCTGGCATATAGTAGGTTTTTAGATTCTTGATGATTTGAATTGACTAATCTCTGTATGTGGGTTTTGATTGTGGATGCTACTGCCTGCCATCCAAAAAAGGGGGCTCCTGTGTCTTGAGGGTGAATTGTTAATCTGTATCATTGTTGGTTTCTTTTCTGAGACACAGTGACTAACCAGTCTGGGGCCAGGGGAGAATGGATATATGATTTAATTGGTGTGAGGAGCTCCCACTGGTCACTAAGAGGTTAAAATGACTTAGACCTGGTCGTACTGCAACTATGTGTCAGAGGCAAGATTTGATCAGGTCTGCTAACTCTGAAGACTAGTCCTTTATCCTCACTTTGCTACCTGTAAAATGAAAAAGACCAGAAGGCCTCTTAAGATCACTTCCAGGTCTAAATCCATGATCTGTAGACCATACTGTTTTCCCCCTCTATTCCAAGGGGTAGGTGCTTCCTCATCTTTGGGGGCCACGAATGGTCATAGGACATAGATTATTATCCTTGT